GGCATTTTTTTTTCAGATTGGATTCAAAATGGCTGACTGGCGGCCATTTTGTTTTAATGATTACGCTTCTAGAGCCATATCTCTTAAATGCTTTGACTGATTATATTCAAATTTTATATATTCGTTATACATCATGTTATATATATACATGAATTCAAAATGGCTCATTTTGAATGCTGTTCCAGAGCAATATCTCTCAATATGGACAAGTACTTGTTTGACGATCAGATACAAATGTCAATCATTTTAATGTTAAAAAATCATATTCCTGACATGGTTATATTCCAGCTATATTACTATGAACAAAACTATATATCTTAAATTGAATAACTAACGGGGACTGTGCCATGCATGGCTTGTTAAAATTTGCTTTTCTAGTCCCAATGCAACTTGTCAGTATATTACGTATTGAAGTATATATTCAATATATTGCATGGACCCCTCCAATATAGACTGGCAAAGTCGGGAACTTTTTTGTTTTACAAAAAGAAATAATTCATCATTTCATAGTATGCATATGTTCTTATTCCGTGACTTACTGGGTTCCATTTAAGTTATGATGGCACATCACAATCATGAAATGTGAATGGGGAATCAAATCTTATTAGATGTAATTTTGAAACCATCTTATTCAAGATGGTCGGGCAGTTAACTATTCTGTTTTCAAATATCTTGCATATACCTGAATAAATATATAAGTCAAAATTCAGTCATGCTAAATCCATTTCCGAAAATGTAAATAATTCGGCAAGCAAAAGAGTGCAATTTCTTCTCACAGCCAAAATGTAATGGTTTGATGAAAAAAAAATACTTAAGCTCATTGTTAATCTACAATCCGTGCATAATGATAATATCCTTATTGCTGTAGAACAGTTTGTTTATAACAAGATGGATTTTTGTTGATTTGTAGTCTGATAATATTGTACATGTCGTACAACTTTTGTTTTTCAATCTGGTTAAATGTTGTTGTTTATTGTTAAAATGACATAAAACAAGCACTTGTACTAATCAGAAAACCAGTGTATGACAAAAAGCTTTATTTTTTCTTTGAACAAATCGTCCCAGAGTTTAACTCGTCGCATGTTTTATTATATACAAGATGACAGTCGCACAAATCGTGTGCAATTGCATTTAGTGTCTTTCCAGCTCCATTCAGGGATGATGTATCTCAACAATGGACTGTGATCACAAACTCGCCAGTTGTCGACAGTATCGAGTCGTCTCAGCGCTACACCTAATTTACATAGGACTACGGTTACTAGTAACCGTGATAGGACCAACCCCATGCTAACAGTATTGTACATCTACTGTGTCAATTGATTGGCTTTGTATATTTGTTGGAGTTGTGCCATTTGTCGGCAAGATTATCGATGGTGCGGACCATCTTTAGAGGGCGCAGCAAACCACAAACCACGAATACTGTTTAACATTTGTTTATTATGGAAATATAATTTATTCGTTGGATATTACCCTAAAAATGACAGTCGACACCAAGCTGATAATAATATAATAAAAGTAAATGTAGACAACAACAAATCAAGGAATATTCAGGGTAATAACTGAACAAAATATGACATCACAATGTGGGGATTGGATATTCAAATTAGAAATAATTGAGTCCTCTATAATCACAACTGCCTGATCTAGGAGAATTGAGAAACGGTTTCAGGGTATGGCGGCGAAATCCAAGAGACAGTGCACATCTATCTGAACAGAAGAACTTCATTCCAAAGTCACTGTCGGAGACGTCATCTTCGCTGTCATATGGTTCATCATCCATGAAAAATAACGTTGACTTTTTGTAACATTTCTCGCAAGGTATAGTGAGCATCTCATTTCTCATCACGGGCATCAGTATTTTCGTTGTGGTTGTTTCCTCGCGTAAAGGGCGCTTCAAACACCTTTTGCCTGCAAACAAAATATTGATTGAAATGAATGAGTACTGAGAATTTATTGGGTAATATGCTAGCGTCTGCCACTCACTATGGACACGACGGTTACATTAAACTTGTAATAAGTGGGTTTAAAGATGAAAATGTAATTATGTAATTATAATATATATAAAATATAATAATTTTTAATATTGTTTTCGATGTCTCATAATAAAATGGTTGTGTTTGCAGGACACTCAACAATATTTGTTAGATGAAAAATCATAACGACCAATACCAAAAGTGTGAATGTGGTTTTTCATAAAACAGTTTTGTTTTATTAGTATTGTCTCAATTGTACTATGAAGCTGGAATGGCGGCTTATGTGCGGGCGTTTATCTTGGCAACCTCTTCTGTGACATACAGTATATTGTGTTTAATAAAGGGGTCGCCATTGATTTCGCTATTGTTTCAGAGCTATTTTCGGTAACAGTGTGTACAATTTCAGTCAAAACAAATAAAGTCTTTTAATTTTACTAGTGCATGTATAGTATCTCATAATTTTCTAATGTGGTGAGAGTTTGGTCACAACGGAATGAAATAATGTCGATGTGTCCAGAAACCCTTCTCACAAAATATACATGAGAGTAGAAATAACTCACCAAAGTTATGAATAAGGATTGATGTGGTGAAACCAGCGTCATATTCATACAGTATTTGTATGCCGTCTTGTATATACTCGAGTAACAGGGTTTCCATTGGTCTCTCATTCTCACAGACACTCAGCCCTTCAACATTGTAGTATCTGGAATTCAGTGTTACGATCGGATCGGGGTCTTTGTCGGTTTCCTGTGATGGGAATACATTATCGTTATAGAAATACCATTCTGTCGCATTCGACCAGAACACAGTCAAGTGCATTTCATCTTATTTCATCTCAGTATACATTGTTTATGTATCTCGAAAAACGTAGAACATAATTGGTTATAGACTGTAGAGACGATTTATTCGGATCACACAAGAAGTTGAGTTGAGATCGTTCAAATAATTTCTAATGTGGAATCATTGAAAGAAAATATATATGCGTAATTGCAAAACCTGCCTTCAAATTATTGAATGCATTCGATGAATATATTTCCATGCCACTTAGGTGACCATAGCAACACTGCAACCAGGTGAACCGAAGTGATAGATCAACATCTTTAAACGATCCATTAAGCGGGACTGCCATATACAATTCAAACTTCTCTGTAAGTAAAAGAACGCAGACAAATTTAAAATATTGCATTCACCGGGTACGTTTTATGCTAGATCGCGATGTCATTTGAAAGATTACGTAACTTACCAGCCCAGTCAGCACTCTTAGCATGTAGTAAATATACATTGGGTTCGCCATCATTTGTAAACCAACAACTGTCGAGATGAGACATCGCATCATTATTGGTAACCTGGCAACCACATCCATTACAATTCATTGGTGGCAGTACCATCCATGGATTACCACGCTTCCTATGAGCATCTTTAACTGTATCTGAAATTAGATAAAAAAAAAATCATTAGCATTATTGACAAATATGACATATTGTCGTTTTGCATAACATCATTGCTATTCATTGCCAACTAATGGAATGATATTCTATAACGCTGTTTGGACATTCAACTTGCATGGCTTCGGTACCGAAAAGTCGTATTGTGGGACAATATTAAAATAATGCACAAATGAATCCCTTTGAATCTCTGTGTGGATCGACACGCCGCTATGCGTTTAGTGTCATCCCGTCTAGATTTTAGTGTGGTTTGGACGTAAGTGGTGTCACAACGATCCGGGCCGCCCTGGTAAAAAAAATACGTTCAGTCTCCAAAACAGGTTCGTCAATCCGATATGTGTCCATATCTAATGTTAATAAATGCACAACG